GGTGAACTGGTACGAAACGGATGCGAGTTGATAGGACTCGTGGACCTGACTGAGGATGGACTGGACAAACACGTGTCGAAAACAAACATGAGAACAATAGGTTCTGTGAATGAAAACGAAAACAAACGATGGAAACCGCAAACCGGCTCAAAGCTTAGCGTTCGACAACACGCTTCCGGGGTGAAACGAAATGGAAACCTTGGGGGACACACCTGTGTTGTGGGGCGGCAAAGCCATCATGCCGGGAAACACCGGGATTGAAACGTTAATGCTGTTGTTTCTCATCAGCTTGACTTTCAACCTAGTGAGTGTTTGCGTAGGAGGGACGGCACTTTGCTGTCTGTACAGAGACATAGTACTGTGGCCATGCAAAAGCAAGAAGAAGGCCAAGTACGAGGTGTACTACCTCACAAGGTATGGAGAAAGAGTGCACTCAACGGACCAATGTCCTACGTTGAGTAATAGCACAGATGTGAAGAAATTCAAACCGTGTACAAAGTGTTTCAATGTGGTCTTAGGACCGAAAGATGCGTAACCGAGCCCAATACGCAATGCAGAACGTACAGAAAATAATTCAAATGAAGTTGCACTGTAAGGCGCCATATTTTAAGGAGGGTGCAAGCAAAATACGCACCATATGCTAGGTTTGGCTGCCTGTATGACTTGTGGTAAAACATGTCACCACAGTGCATGCATGTGTACTCCGCAGCCCCAGTGGACCATTCGAAGTGGCACAAAACAGTGAGTCCGCTTTTCGCACTGTCGAAAAACTTGAAAGAAAGCGTGAAAAAACAAAAAATGTAACTCTTGTTTCATTTTTCCCTTTGAGCCTCTCTGTGTTTTTCCTTTCTTTTTTCTCCTTTTATTCTGCTTTTGTGTTTTTTAGATTTTGCTGCTTTGCTTTTTCGCTTTTCCGACGTTGATACTTTTTTCGCGTTTTTCGCGAAGTTAGAATATGCTACGGTCTGGATGACATAAATTTACCAAAGAAGATAAAAAAATATCTTTTTCCAAGGTTGTGCTTCATCGAGGCGAGATGAAGCGCAACCTAGCGTTTGGGGGCGCAACCAAGCTCATGTTTGTGTGATAAATGACTTTGGTTGTGCTCCCAAGCACTTGGTTGTGCTTCATCGAGGCGAGATGAAGCGCAACCCCGAAAAAATGATGTTTTCTGTTCTTTGGTAAATTCTAGTGAGATACGTGCCATACGAATGATAGCAGTAGTAGTCGTAGTCGTAGTCGTCGTCGTAGTAGTAGTAGTCGTAGTAGTAGTAGTAGTAGTAGAAGTAGTAGTAGTAGTACTACTACTACGGCCAGGACGGATGTGCTGCCGGGAAAGTGTGTTTTGACTGCGCAGGGCCAATGTTTTGTGAGATTCCCCGTGTCGTTCGTTTGGGCAAACGGATGACGAATTTTTCCCTCATTTCATCAACATCATCATCATCAGCATCATCAGCAACAACATCAACATCATCAACATCATCAACATCCCAATTGACTGTAAAGTTTAATCGGGGTGGGAGTTTACTATTCCCTAATACCCTTGTTGATCTTCCCAATTGAATGCAAAGTTTAACGGGGATGGGAGTTTAATATTCCCTAATACCCTTGTTGATCTTCGCAATTGAATGTAAAGTTTAACGGGGGTGGGAGTTTACTATTCCCTAATACCCTTGTTGATCTTCCCAATTGAATGCAAAGTTTAACGGGGGTGGGAGTTTACTATTCCCTAATACCCTTGTTGATCTTCCCAATTGAATGCAAAGTTTAACGGGGATGGGAGTTTAATATTCCCTAATACCCTTGTTGATCTTCGCAATTGAATGTAAAGTTTAACGGGGTGGAAGTTTAATATACCCTAATACATTTGTTGATCTTCCCAATTGAATGCAAAGTTTAACGGGGGTGGGAGTTTAATATTCCCTAATACGCTCGTTGATCTTCCCAATTCAATGTAAAGTTTAACCGGGGTGGGAGTTTAATATTCCCTAATACCCTTGTTAGTGGGAGAACCTCCACAGAGTCAACCCCTAACTTGGTTGACCCTCGGGAGGCCCCTCCACCGGGCCCACGTATTCGGAGTTCGGAACGTACTTGTACAGAACAAAAAACGATACTTTATGTATACTTAGTAGAAATCACAAGGTCAACAGCTAACCAAAAACATTAGTTTCTGTGGACCCGGTTGGACTTTATGTAAACTTGCTAGAAATCACAAAGTCAACAACTAACCAAAAACAATAGTTTCTGTGGACCCGGAGGGAGAGCCTCCACAGAGTCAACCCCTCACTTGGTTGACCCTTTGGAGGCCCCTCCACCGGGCCCACCTATTCGGAGTTCGGAACGTAATTGTACAGAACAAAAAACGATATTTTATGTATACTTGGTAGAAATCACAAGGTCAACAACTAACCAAAAACATTAGTTTCTGTGGACCCGGTTGGACTTTATGTAAACTTGCTAGAAATCACAAAGGCAACAACTAACCAAAAACAATAGTTTCTGTGGACCCGGTGGGAGAGCCTCCACAGAGTCAACCCCTCACTTGGTTGACCCTTTGGAGGCCCCTCCACCGGGTCCACGTATTCGGAGTTCGGAACGTCATTGTACAGAACAAAAAACGACGATACTTTATGTAGTCGTGGCGGAAGCGCCTCCACAGCGTCAACAACTAGCTCAGTCGACTCCCTGGAGGCCCGTCCAACGAGTCCGCGTGCTGACAACACGGTATACCTACAAGAATAACGATTCACCAACAACAAGCACACAAACATTCCAGCTGCTTGGGTGAGCTTTTCAAACTCCAAAAGTTTCTTTCCAACCGATTCTTGTCCAAAATGCCTACCTTATACATCTAACGTTAGAAATCGGCAAACTCTTCAACGCAATTTCCACGAAGTCATGAATCCGCTTGTTGATCTTCGCAATTGAATGTAAAGTTTAACCGGGGTGGGAGTTTAATATTCCCTAATACCCTTGTTGATCTTCCCAATTGAATGCAAAGTTTAACGGGGGTGGGAGTTTAATATTCCCTAATACCCTTGTTGATCTTCCCAATTCAATGTAAAGTTTAACAGGGGTGGGAGTTTAATATTCCCTAATACCCTTGTTGATCTTCCCAATTGAATGTAAAGTGTAACGGGCCTGGGCGTAGTAGTAGTAGTAGTAGTAGTAGTAGTAGTAGTGGTAGTGGTAGTAGTAGTAGTGGTAGTGGTAGTGGTAGTGGTAGTGGTAGTGGTAGTGGTAGTAGTAGTAGTAGTAGTGGTAGTGGTAGTGGTAGTGGTAGTGGTAGTGGTAGTCAGTCGTAGTAGTAGAAGGAATAGTAATAGTAATAGTAGTAGTAGTAGTAGTAGTAGCAGTAGTAGTAGTAGTCGTCGTCGTAATAGTAGTAGCCGTAGTAGTAGTAGTAGTAGTCGTCGTCGTCGTCGTCGTCGTCGTCATAGTAGTAGTAGTCGTAGTAGTAGAAGTAGTCGTCGTCGTAGTAGTAGTAGTAGTTGTTGTCGTCGTCGTAGTAGTAGTCCTCATAGTAGTAGTAGTAGACCTCATAGTAGTAGTAGTAGTAGTAGTAGTAGTAGTAGTAGTCCTCATAGTAGTAGTAGTAGTAGTAGTAATAGTAGTAGTAGTAGTACTAGTACTAGTATTAGTAGTAGTACTAGTAGTAGTAGTAGTAGGTAGTAGTAGTAGTACTAGTAGTAGTAGTACTAGTACTAGTACTAGTACTAGTAGTCGTCATAGTAGTAGTCGTAGTAGTAGTAGTAGTCGTCGTCGTCGTCGTCGGCGTGCTTGCGTTACAAACAGTCGCACCTTCTCTTGCCTCTCCCTCCTGTGTTTTCCCCCCTACCTTTCGTCCCCCCCCTCTCAAGTATTTTGGAAAATTAAACGTTTTGAGAATTCCAAAAGAATGGAGCTAAGAAGTAAAAAAGATAATCTATTAGCAAAGGAAAGGACAAGGAGGGAGAAAAGGATTTTGGAAAAAACAACACATCAAAAAAACAACTTAACACAATAAAGGACCACCACAACAAACATACAATTATTGAAGATCAATGCTGCTCATGGGCTACCCCCTTGAAAAATTGTTTGGGTGCTGTTTTTTTCATGGTGTTTTAATAAGGCATCCTATATTTTGAGAAATTGGACATTTTGATAATTCCAAAAGAATGGAGCTAAGGAAGTAAAAAAGGAGAACACCATTAGCAAAGGAAAGGACAAATAAAGGAGAAAAATATGCTGGAAAATGTTCACTTCAAAAAAAAACTTGACACAATAGAGGACCACGACAGCAAACATACTATTGAAGATCAATGCTGCTCATGGGCTACCCCCATTAAAAAATTGTTTGAGTGCTGTTTTTTTTTAAGAAATTAATTGGGTTTTAACAAAACATCCTATATTTTGGGACATTAGACATTTTGAGAATTCCAAGAGAATGAAGAGATAAGAAAGTAAGATAGAAAAAACTACGAAAGGAAAAGGAAAGGAAAGGAGAGAAGGATTTTGGACAAAACAAATCTTCAAAAAGAGCTTGACACAATAGAGAACCACCACAACAAACATACTATTGAAGATCAATCTTGCTGATGGGGTACTCCTTTGAAAAATTGTTTGGGTGCTGTGCTGTTTTTTTCTCTCCGGGGGGGTAATAAGGCATGTTATAATCGTTTTTTTTTTTATGTGCAAAAACATGTTTCAATTGTTCTTTTATTAATTACTTAATTAATTATTTAAAATAAGATGAAAAATCCAAAAGTGAAAAAACATGAGCAAAACAAATTGGCCTCAGAAAAAACACACTTGACATAATACCGACCCACCCCAACAATTACACTGATTCAGAATTATTTTGGAAAAACTTGCCACAATACCGACCCACCACACTAATCGGGATGCTACATTACGTGTGTTTGGTAGTTATCACCGCACAGCCAGGAGCAAATGCATCCATTACACCGGAGCTCCTTTGCCACCAAGAGCCTTTTCGAAACAGCTCCATCCCAACGATGGAGACGGCACTTGGATGTGCAGGACGAGTATGGCGATTGGAGACCAACAGCAACCACCAAGATGCCACGGTTTCAAGCACTGGGGGTTTAATGAAATGATGTTGACATTTGAAATGAAAATCTGATTTGATAAAAATTGATACGATTTGATGATGCTTGATGACGTTTGATGGTCGAAGGCTCGGCCATGGCAAAGCCAGGCTAGGGCCTAAACTTTGTCAGCACAAATCAGAACAGTTCCAATTCCCAATTTGGATTTTGATTGGTCCCATTTCAGGAGACACTTATCATGTCAGATGCAAAAACGGGATTTGTTGCTACTGATGCCACTTGGAACCAGTCATGACCCACTCAGCTGCATACAAGTTTGCATTGCGCGTGTGATGTCCTTGTGCCTCAATCAAGTTGACGGCACAGATCAGTAGAAGCAGCGATGGGAAAAAGCAGAGCTCAGTAGACGCTTCGGCTTTTGTGTGCGCACTGGAACCTGCATCAGGTGTGCTGGTTTTGCTTGATAAATCTTGATAATCTTGATACTATGTTACTGATCACAACACAGGGTGTTTGATATCGTGTGTAATTATTTTCAATTGTTTCATGACCTGTCCAATCAAAAAGAGACTTGTTCCCAGTATGCCCCGTTCAGTCGGCATTTTGTCTACCAATCTTTCCACGGTGCGAAATCTCCGAAGGTCTTGACAAGCTGGGACTGGCGCATTTGGCTGGTTGTCTTCATTGTCGGATCTGTACCTTGTCCACCGGTGCCGCTTTCCGTTGCCATGCTGTGTGCCCTCGTATCTCATACAGTAGTATCGTTCAACGTTAAAGAAAGATAAGAAAGTCCATGAAAGTCCTAAAGTCATCTAAAGTCCCGAAACATCTTAAACACATTGTAATACAATGAGCATGCGGGTCTGTCAGTGCTTTCCCGCTTGCTAGTGGCAATAGTCTCAATAGTCTTTCAGAAGGCACATCGAAATATGGATGCTTTTGATCTAATTTGCACTGTATGACTTCTTTGCAGCTTCTGAGTCTGTGTGGTTTCATATCCTACGTTTCATCATTCTCCAACGTTGCCTCGCAGATTGGAGCATGGTTTTGCTTAGGTGGTTTTGCAACACAAAGGTCCGCAGTCACCAGTGGAGCAGGCCGCGAAGGCCCGCACCGCACCTGATCTCAGTGCTTATAATTCCAGTGGTACCTGTGTTCCAGGGGCTTGTTGTCCAACACTTCTGGTGGATTTGTTCATATTTGTGCATTGAAATCATTGAACACCGCGGAACAAATGTTGCCCTCAGAACATGACTCCGCTCAGCTTCACAAATTCCTCATAATTTGGCTTTCGGCTCAGCGTCTCGTGTCGCATCGTCGATCCAATCGATCCAGTCGCGTCTTTGATTTGCGAGTCATCGACTTCTCTTCCGCCATGTCGCAGGAACATACTGAGTAACTTGTCGAGCTGACAAAATTTCAGTTGCAAGCATGATCTTGCAGAATTTTCTTTGCTGCTTCGGAACTTCAAAACATTATAGCGTAATGTAGGCAACCACAATCCTTCGTGGGCCAGTACTGAGTTATTTTATTGTGTGTGTGGTAAGATTTGGTGCCATGTGCCGGTCAAGGTACGTTCAGAGCAAGGTCAATCCCATCCTCGAGAATCTTGTGACAGAGGTTCTCTTGGAACGTCCTGACAACCCAGCGCCACTTTTGCAACAGAGATGTGTGGGAAACTGTGGCAAGGCAAAGGCATTGCATACATAATTGAGAAGCAGATATGGTTTACCCGAATACTTATTCAGTTTAGATTGATATCATATCCATTGCCTCTTTTTTGTGATCTTTTCTTCTTCTCCTCTCAGCTACCTCGTCCCCTAGCCGTGTGGACGACCTGAGGTGCCATTTATGGTGCGCTGGCTGGCAGAGCGATCCAAGGCTGGAAAGGAATCCCTCTACTCCTTGGGTGTGGGCGAGGCTGAGAAGCTCCGCAATGAGATTCGTCAATTGCAGGACTCTTCCTGGAGCGGCTTTCGATGCTTTGTGGCTATACATTCGAGTCGTTCAAGCATAACCTCCAATTGGTTTTGTTTTTTGGTGAACAGGTATGTTATGTTTGTCCGAGATCCATGAGATCATGCCAGCTCAGGAGTCTAGTCTACTCAGAAGAAACGATGATGCTTGCAAGTTTGTTGAAACATGAACACTCATGACACGGAAATTTGATGAAATTTGCTTCAACAAATGCCCCTTCTTTTAGGCACATATTTGCTGGCCGTTGTTAAAACGGTGCAGGATGACATCAAAACGCTTTCCGACAAGGTGGGGGAAGCCAAGACCAAGGGTGCTGAGAAGACAGAGAAGCCCGAGGCAACGGCTGGTGAAGGAGGTAAGGCTGAGGAGCAGCCCAAGGACTCATCGGAGCTCCTTCAACGTTGTATAACCTGTCATTGGTTTGGCAAATCAAATTCAATTCAACTTGGAAAGTGAATCTCATTGTGGTCCTAATAGTTCGCACGTGATCATACGTCATACGTCATACGTGTTCATTGCCACCGAGCTCATTGCAGCAGGAGGACGCACCAAAGGAAGAGGCTGGTGGTGGAGGCGACGAAGAAGAAGCTGAGGAAGGTGGCAAGCAGGAAAAGGAAGAGAAGGAAGACGAGGACCAAAGGAATAGCTATGAATAGGTCAGTCATCTAAAAATTTGGAAATATTTGGAAGCAATCTAGCAGGGATGACCTTTGACTCCCGCATGCTTAAAACAATAGCTGCTTGGTGCATGCCCACCCCTAGCAGCTAAGACGCCTCTGAGCGCTAGGAGGAGGAAGAATCAGACTTTGGAGATGATGAGGAAGATCAAGACGATGATTGGAAGCCTCCAGCAGCCTACATGAAGAAGGGACAGCGAGGCTCAGTGTCAGCGGAGGCCTATGGCGCCTTCAACCAGAAGCAGGCATCTCTCCTTCAAGATGTTTCAAAATTTTCTGCGAGCGCAGGTGGGTGTGTGTGTGTGTTTGTGTCTACTTGTTCCCGAATGCGTATCGCGAAGGGTTCTCTTTTTACTTTGCACTCCACACTCCACATTCTACACTCTACACTTTACACTTGACACCCCACACTCTACAGTACACTTTACACTCCACACTCGACACTTTACACTCCACACTCTACACTTCGCACTTCACACTGTACACTCTACACTTGACACAGCTTGACACAGCTTGACACATCTTGACACATCTTGACACATCTTGACACATCTTGACACATCTTGACACATCTTGACACATCTTGACACATCTTGACACATCTTGACACATCTTGACACATCTTGACACATCTTGACACATCTTGACACATCTTGACACTCTACACTTTACACTCCACACTCTACACTTTACACTCCACACTCTACACTCTACACTTTACACTTTACACTCTGCACTCTACACTTTACACTTTACACTCCACACTCTGCACTTTACACTCCACACCCTACACTCTACACTCCACACTTTACACTTTACACTTTACACTCCGCACTCTACACTTTACACTTTATACTCTGCACTCTACACTGTACACTTTACACTCCACACTCTACACTTTACACTCCACACGCCACACCCTACACTCTACACTTTACACTTTACACTTTACACTCCGCACTCTACACTTTACACTTTATACTCTGCACTCTACACTGTACACTTTACACTCCACACTCTACACTTTACACTCCACACGCCACACCCTACACTCTACACTTTACACTTTACACTCCGCACTCTGCACTTTACACTTTACACTTTACGCTCCACACTCTACACTTTACACTCCACACTCTACACTTGCACTCCACACTTCGCACTGTACACTCGACACTTCACACTCCACAATCCCCACCTCATACCCTACACATGACATTCCCCACTCAACACTCCACTGTTTTCACTGCCTTCACACTCCACTCTTGACTCCACCCCATTCCGCACTCCACAGTCTACACTGTTCCGGCAACAGGGAAAAATGTACAAGACTGTTGAAATAACTTGTTTCATCGTGTGTCATAAAAGTGTTTTACGTGACTGCATTCGGGTTCGTTGGTTAGGTTTCTCTTTTTCTATTTCTTTATATTATTATAGATATATTATATATTATGATATATTATATAATATTTTTTTTTTTTGTTTCGTCTCATGTCGGAATGTCATGCTCAGTTTAGTTTGCATTTTTGAGTTGGATCGTGTGGTGTTGAGGGATGATCATGCGGCCAAGATGCTAAGCGAAATCCGCATGAGGCATTCGAACCACCCGTCTACGAGAAGAGTGCGGACCAAGAAGCACGTATCAACGATGTGTTGTCGAAGAGCTTCTTGTTCAACGCTTTGAGCAAGGATGACCTCAAGGTGAGTGCCAAAGCCCTGGTTGACAACGATATAGAACACACCCGTACTCGCTATAAACGTCAGAGAGTTACAAGGCAATTATCTGGATCTCCCTCCCTGTGTTCACACCGATCCTTGGTGATTTCACACCTGCGTGATTACTGTCTTCAAGATTCTGCTGTCTGGGTTTATGGAGATCGTTCACTTCATTCAAAATTTTCCCGGTCCAATGGTGCCTATTGGGAACCAAATTTGTCATGTGGCTTAACAGGAATCCCCAACTCAACCAGTGAAACTAGCTGGAACCAACATGTTTGACCTCCGCAGGTGATTTTGGGTGCCTTTCTGGAGAAGAAGATCCCTGCTGGGGAACGCATCATCCAAGAAGGGGATGATGGCGATGTCATGTTCCTCATTGAGTCCGGTGCATTTGATTGCATCAAGAAGATCGACGGCCACTTGCAATGCAAGACTTGCCTTTCCGCCCACCAATCCACAATATATCATTTGCCTTGCACACAAGAACCACTGCCGGTTATTATGATTTTGCGATTATTCAATATTATTCACATTTATATATTCACAATGGGGAATGGTTCCCCTATGCTTTAAAGGTGGTCGGGGCACTTTCAGATGCGATCTTTCGGAACTGAGGTTCAGACAAAGTGGTGAAGAAGTGTGGCCAAGGCGCGAAAAGGATAGTAAGCCTGCGTTGACCAGGTTTCTGCAGGATGTCCACTGATACTGAGAGGATCTGAGAGGGCAAAAGATGCTGATGCCACTGATGACACTGGTTTTGTTCTATGTGTTTGACTTGCTTGTGGAATGTCGATGGATGAGACGATCATCCCATTCCTTTCCAACTGGCTACTGGTTCATTGATCGCATTCACCAAGCAGTGCCATTCTTGTTGCCAGGTGACGTCTTTGGAGAGCTGGCATTGCTCTACAATTGCCCACGGGCTGCTTCTGTGGAGGCTTTTTTGTTTTTTTTTTGAACTTGGAATGACATGCCAAACAGATTCATCAACCAGTTGCTAGGCCCGCTCCGCCAGGCCACAGAAGATTCTGTTGTTTGGCAGTTGGATCGCGAGACCTTTAGCCATATCGTCAGAGATGCCAGTGCCAAGCGTCGTGAAGCCTTCCAGGATTTCTTGAAACTTGGCGAAGAGAAGTCACGAGAAGCTCATCATTTGCAACTATCCACAACTTCGGAGAATTGTGGATTATGAGCATTAATATGCATTTATGTAATGATCATGAATGCATCATCATGGGGGAAGTTTGATGTGATGCGCTGTCATGATACTGCCACTGGAAAGTCAAACATCGCGCCAAGCACCTAGGAAGACGGTGCCGCTCTTCAAACCTCTGGAGAGCTATGACCTGGTGCATCTCGCCATATCTCGCCAGTTTTGATCCATTCAGGGGCCACTTGCATTATAAATTATAAACAGATGGACATATGATGAACTGATGAACATTGATGAAATATGATAGAGATGGTAGAAATAGACTGAAATGGAGAGGATAGCCGGCAGCGCGGGACGTGGGACGTGGGATGTCAGTGGAAATGTCGGAGTTGACCAGATCCAACAGGACATAACAGGACACAACTTCTTTTGGCTCCTTTGGATATGGATGGGCTCCGTGCACTCGAACATTTTGCCCCAAGGCAGTTGGCCGATTGCTTGCAGCAGGAGACTCTGGAAGCTGGACAGACTCTTGCCAGAGATACAGTATGAGTCATACTGACAAAAAATTCCAAAATCCAAAAGATGCGTCCTTAGTTGTGGCCCGTTTTGTTTGGGCCAACGGCTCGCCCTCAGCCTTAGCTGAACCTTCGGGATGGCGATGGAGAGAGAGTAATGACAGAGGTATAATAAATCTAGATTTTAGTTACAATCCTATAATTTATAATGTCAGACACGTTCTTGAAATCGAGAGAGACCTGGAATGGAATCATTGGTAATGGAGAACAGTCAGCGGTTCGTACTGCAACACTGATGAAATTCAAAGCCTTTTCAGGTAAATCCCAGAGAGAATGGAGCCAGACTGCAACACATACAGACTGGGCAGTCAAATGTAGTCACTGTAGTCATTGCTAATTATTCATTTCGTCAGATGAACTATGCCCAAGCGAGTTCCACATTGATTGCCAGAAGAGACTGCAGCTGTCAGCTATGACTCTATGAGAAAACAAAACATGCCTTTGCACTGTGACTGCAGCACTTTGCGGATGTTAAGGAAGATCTTGAAGCAAGGTGGTCCGGGAGATACCTTCTATCTCGAATCTTGTCAGAAGATAATCGTATAGCCGAATGTAGCCACAGAGTTGCACGAGTTTGGTTGCTTTTACTACAAAAACTCCAGCATTGAGTCGGGGGAACAATCACGCAACGTTTCTACTTGATCTTAGACTGACACCTGAGTGTGTCCGAGAATCACCCTTGTCAAAATGACCAGTTCGTTAAGCAATCTGAATGCTTTGCCTGCTGCTGCTAAATTTGACCCTGTGTTTATTGATGATCCGATTTTTGCTGTGGATTTTGGTAGCTATTGAGTCTTGAACTGTCTTTTAGCTGTCAACTGGCAGTATCTTAGGGCCTAGGATGCCTAGGGCCATGAATTGGGAAAAGTGCATGGCGGTGCAAGGTGGAAGAGGGAGAACTTGTGGCTACCAAGAAGCGTGAGAGTGGCCAGGAAGAGGCGTGGCACACGGGCACGGCTGCATGATTCTTATGATTTGATCTTAGATTGCTATAGATTGCTGCCATTCACAGGAGGTGCTTTCATACAAGCGCGGGGACTACTTCGGTGAACTCGCACTCTTGAAGAACGAGCCACGCGCCGCATCCGTGGAAGCAAAGACGGAGGCAAGGGTTTGCAAGATCGACCGCAAGTCCTTCAAGCTGCTTGCTTGCATTCACCACAGGGAAGCGCCATGCAATTTGCATAGTGGATCATAGTGGTGTAGTGGTGTGTGTGGTGTGCATCTTCAGAGCACCAAGCCACGTAATCTTGTTGTGTGGGCTTCTCAAACCCATCCCATTGCTTGGCAAGTTACCAGTTTTCTTGAGCAAGAGAAGAGTAGGAGAAAGGTCAAGCAACAGAATGGACGTGCAACAGCAGCCCATAGAATATCTATAAGCTTGCAGCACAGATGTACCATGATGTATCATTTATATAGATCCGTTTCAGTCCCTTTTTGGAAACCTTGGAATCTTGCGGAGTCCTGAATGGCTCAGGAACATCCTCGGACAGTTGGAGGCGCAGTTCAAGGAGGCTGCATTGAAATACAAGCCTTGAGGCCCAGACAAGAACACCTGAGTCGGCTTTGAGTCGGCCGTGTAGCGCTGTTCCCTGAATTCCTATGACACCGTGCCTTGCAATCCCTTGAAGGTGTCCGACGGATGGAGTGAAATGCCACTCCAAACATTGCAACTGACGTGTGGAATGCGATGGACAAATGAACAGCCCCTCTTCTAGAGGTCCGGTGAACGCATTTAAGAGACACAAGGCGGGCATGATTCCATGATATTGTATAATATTGATTAATATTGTATACACATGTTTATTACAATACGTAGAATACGTTATATGCACCGCCTCTACCAGCAACTAACTCATAATTTGCAGAGAATCGTCGCTTCCACTCTCTTTGTCACTGACTGTTTCAACCCGCTTGCAACTCTGCTGTGAACTCAGCTGGCTCTTTGCGATCTCCCAGCTCAGCTCACCACAAGCCGCATGGCTGCCGTGCAGAGTGCCAAGCACACCTCTGCTCGAAGCACCCGGCGAAGCAGGACCAAAAAGATCGACACCATCAGTGTAGCAAGGGAACAAGGGAGAGGTCTGTGCCGCAGACACTCTATAGACATTCTCAGAATCCGGAGACTCCCATATATGATATATATGTGATGATGATTACATTAAATAGATTTCAATAGGAATATATAGATATATATATATAGTGATATGTGATAATTTTGCTGGGCTCCCATGCGCATTGGTCGAGAGTGGTTTCAGAATGTCGCAGAGCACTTTGAACTTCTTCACTGGTGATTTTGAAACACACTGGCCAGCCTTGAGTTCTTACAGGTAGCAAAGGCGGCAAAAAGACACCTGGAAAATGGAGACTACAAAGTGCCCTGACTAACTCCAGAGTTCGCAGATTTTTGCAGATGGATGTGGGGGATTGGCCTCCTATGTATTTCTTTTGGTGATCCGATAAGAAACTTCACAACGTGGCACTGGGATTTTCTGAGGTGGCCTACATGCTGTTGACTCGTGGTCTTCGGCTGCTAGGCAACAGCTGTAAGTAGTTGACGTTGCATGCAATGCATTGGAGAATGTCTAATGGAATCATTGTTAATGAATGGCACTTGACATAGATTGGATAATGAAGTTGACTGAATTTTATTGCTCTTCATTGCTACATTGCCGCAAGCAAATCGTGGATGTTTGTGGCATCACCCTGCAGGTGCTTTTGACAAGCCTGGTGCCACTTCACCCTCGGCCAGCTTACTTGAGCTCCGGAGACGGCGTGCCGCGATTTTGCTGCAGAAAGGCTTCAACAAGGCGTGCGTCGAGGACCGGCATGGTACACTGCGTGTCAAGGTCAACGTGTCATGCAAGGAACTGTGCAAACATGTGCAAACGATGTTGTGCTGAACTGTGTTCTGGGCATAGTTGAAGCCACTCATTTCCTGACTTGGCTCAAGAGTCCAGTGCGTGCCTGGGCTGTGACACTTTTGGCGTCTTTGGCCGTGGATTGTTGTCAAAAGGACGACAACCACGTGGCTTTGCCAATGGGAAAAGGAGTGGAGTATGCCACGGCTGATGCAGTCGAGGCCCTGAAGGCCGAGCTGAGAGACATCGCCAAAGCAGCAGATTCGAGAGACAAGGCGAATCAGTCCAGTCTCAAAAAAATGGAGCACGGCCTTGGTAGACAAGTTCAGGAGTTGCTGGCAGAAGGTCAGGAACAGAAAAACAAGATGCAGGTGCAGGAGAATGAGCTGCAAAAGCTGCATGAGCAGCAAGCACAGATGCAACAGAGCTTGAAGGATCAGGTTGAGGGGCTCCAAAAGCTTGTGACAGAGAGTGATCGCCTTCAGAAAAGCGTTTCTGGCATTGAAGAGTTGGCAAAGCAAAACTATCAGGCTCTTCAGGACATGCAGAAACAGCAAAGGGAAGAGCAGATGGAGGAGCTCAAGAAGGCTCGCGAGGACTTGCAGAAGCACGCCTTGGAGGCAGCTCGTAAGGACGCCACAGATGCCAAGGATGAGGCGAAGAAGGAGCTGGAGGGAGCCAAGAAGACAGTGCGTGGAGAGATGAATGAAGGTTTAGAAAAACTCCAGAAGAGCTTGATGGAAAGTATGAAGCAGACCTTTGATGAGCTTGAAAAGAATATGAAGGATACACGAGATGCCTTGGAGGCCGAGTGCAAGGCAGTGCTGGAAGAAACAAAGCAAAAACAGGAGGCTTTAGAGAAGTCTTTGCAGGAGAAGCTTCAGAAGGTTGAAGATGAGACCCGTGAAAAAACAGAGCAACTTGAAGCCAGTGAAAGAAAGAATCGGGAAACCCTTGCAGAGAACCTGAACACTGAGTTGAAAAAGTTGGATGGAGAGTTGAAAGAGAGCTGTCAGGACCTCAAGCAGGTGCAGCTACAAGATGCTGAAGACTTGCAGAGTGCTCGACGCGAGGCTGAAGCCAGGTCCGCTGCAGTGCTTGCAGAAAGCCGTGCAGACATCCAACTTTTGCAAGGAGAGACAACTCGATTGAACGGATTCTGCGCTGGTGTGTCAGGCTTGTCCACTCGGCAAGTGGAATGGTGTTTGCAGGAGGATACCCTCAAACAACTGGAGAGGCTGCAAGACCATGGCCAAGTTGATGACCCTGCGCTGGCTGGAGATGCCCAAACGGGATTCTTTTCTCCAGCATTTGAGGCTGCAGGCGCCAGTGGCTTGCAGCTGGAATTGCGAGCGCACACGCGAAAATCTGGCCCTGGGGAGGGTGGAGATGAAGAAGAAACCACTGGCAACCAATGCTCATTGTACCTGTGGGCACCTGCCGGTTTGCAGTTGGTTTTCCGTCTTTTCCTTGGAACAGAGTCAGTGATTTTGCGCCACAGCTTCGATGGCAAAACACCATGTGGCTTGAAGCGCATGGGATCCATCATCGAGCAGAAATCTGTAGATGGCACTTTGCGACTGGGAATGGAGATCCACGAGTCCCTTGTAGAGAGCACTGCAGATGCAGGAGGAGGGTGTAACCCCATGGCCGGGGGAGAAGACCCACGTGGCCCAATGGATGGTACACTTTCTGTCCAGCGCTATTTGAATCACCGTCTCTACGAGCTCATGCAGTCACAAGGAAGAGTCGTTCTGGATCAGTTGCATAAGAAGGTGGATGTGATGCGGTCAAGAGCAATCCGCAGGGTGCAGTGGCGGTTGGAGAATGGGCCCTTGCTCTTCCAAACCTTCGCCAAGGAACAAGCTGTTCGAAGCACGGCCTTCCAAGCAGCTGGGATTGGTGGCATGCAGTTGGTCTTCTACCCCAAAGGTTGCGCAGGTGCACGTCAGGGCTTTTGTTCTTTCTTTTTGAGCTGCCCTCCCGGCTGTACACTTCGCTGCTGGTTGTGGGCTGGACGGTGGCGACGGGAGGCTAGGCCTTCAGAGCAGCCAGAAATGGTTGGGCGAGTGAACTTTGCTCGCTTCGAAAATGTCATAGATCCAGTTGATGAGTCTGTTGAGTTGGTGCTAGAGATTGAAGAAGCTCATCAGACCAGAAAAGCCTCGACCAGCAGTCAACCGCTGCCTTTGGAGGGCTCTTGTGACCCCAGCAACTCAGTTGAAGCAACAAAGGATGTGAGTTGGATTGAACGGTGTGACACCTCAACAACCAAGATACAACACAGCCACAAAGCACAAAATCCACAGAGAGAAACATCTGGTCCATCTGGTCCTGCTGATGGTGTCCAACAGCTTCCATCCATTTGGACAACCCAAGGTTTCCACAGCTTCAGTGACCTGGAGGATGGCTCCAACATGCGTGCTAGCACGGCTAGCACGGCAAAGGAGCAGTCACCACCGACACCACGTCCACCACAGCAAGGTCGAGCAAAGCGAAAAGGGAATGCCCCCAATGTACGAGTCGCATCTGCAAGAGAAGGAAAGTACAAAGAATACAGCCAGGGCAGCCATCCGTTGCCATCCTATTGAGGCATATTGAGGCTGCCAGGAGCAGGTTGCTTTAAGGTCCAAATGATTCAACAGTGGGACATAAAGGATCATAAAGGAACTGTGAGTTTCAGCAGGGCTTGAAATCCTATTAGATAAGCAGTTTGGTAATGGCTTGTATCTCACATGTGCTGGGAGCGATCATTTTTTGAGCTGACCTATTCAGAATCAGCAACCTGCTGGCTTTCCTTCAGAATCAATGTTTCACTTGAGTTTCACCGTTGGTTCACTAAGTGAGCAGGATTTGCTGCGTCCAAAATTCCAACCGGCCATCGTTCCACGTTTGATGTTATCGTTTTAATGACTCCTTGAATTAAACTCATGTGACTGAACCCTATCCAATTATATAGAAGTAAACTAGAAGTGGATGGCTGCAACACGGAGAGATTTGAGCCGGCACGATCCAGAACCTGATGTTCAGGAGTGTTCTCTTCTAGCAGACCCCAGTGGTGGCGGCTTGCGTGCACGAGCATTCGCTCAGATGGGTGCATGGAAGGAAGCAAGAAAGGCTGTTGAGGACTCTTGGAATGGTTCCCCAATGTTCCCCACAGAGGCGCTCCTTTTCGAGTTCGCTTGTGGACCAAGGTCCTGATGCAGAACAGTCGTTCATTCTTGAGGTCAACATGTTAAAAGCAAACTCGTCAATATTTATCAATATTTATCAATATTTATCAATATGATTGTATAATTGTTCAATAGATTTCAATAGTATTCATCATATTCATCCCTGCCTGCATTTGTCATTGTAAGCCACAGGAGCCCGGAGTTTTGCAGTGGACCCGTGACAACATCGCCCCAAACTTTCCGATGTTTATCGACCTAGGTGCAAGGCAGGGCCTTGTGCAACATACTTTCAAACAATATGTGATTCTTTGCCATATTTTTAAATCCCATGGCCTATGACTGAGCCCATGGGCTTAGTCATGGCTGCAACATGTTTCTCCCTAAACAACTTCTTGGCAGCAGCTGCCAGATGCCGCCAGGCAAGCATTTGGCAGTTTTGACGTGCTACAGCTCATGGGTGGCTTGGCAACAGCTTCCCTTTCCATGTGACGGATGCGACGAGTAGGGACATCAAAACAGTGCAGCCAACACCTTCAACTTGCAATAACTTGCAATAACTTGCAATAACCATGGTCTCCATGTTTGAGGTGGCGCCAGTGTCATGCAACACATCATTGTCCCGGACGACATGGGTCCCTTGAGGCCAGGAAGTTTCATATTGATACTTTGTTTATCTTTGTTTACTACATTTTACTACCATGTATTTAAGTGATTTTAAGTGTATTTATGTTTATCCTTCGTTATCCTTGTTTCTCGAGAGTTTGCAAACAGGTTTGTTTCTCAACAGGTTCGAGTCTGCAAAACTGGAGCGCAAAGCCCTTCCGGGCCGTGGCCAAGGGCTGGTAGCAAAGGCAGCAGCCACGGGCTGGGAGCATGGAGGGTTTCAAGCTGCGCGCCAGCTTCAGAAATGTTATTGCCTTATTACTTATTATGGGATTTATTTCGGAGCTTAACAATGCAGCGTTGCATGGACATGTTGTGTTTATGAATCCAATATCATCTATAATCATCTCCCAATCACGATTGGGACATCCAAAGGACTGGGAATCACAAATGCCCATGATGCCTCAGGATTGCTTTGTTCTGCATACTGGGCACAGCAATCGGCCAGGCCAATATTGCCGAGGGTGAGCTGCTGATTGCCTCACGTCCGATTGAGCTGATTCGCCCTGGAGATCAAGATTGGCAGTACCACGCTGATATGGCCTTTTTGGAGGCAGAGCATGGAATGTTGAGCGTTTCTGAGCTCTAAGTATTCTCGGAACATGCTTGAAGTTTGGCTTTTCTATGGTTTTCTTCATTAATGAGTCATATACTGTATAGTTTATGATATTTATGATATTATAGGTGAAAATTGCAACACTATGACCGGCTACAGTGGGAAACTGTGTCGCAAGTTGTTCAGGGTTTGATCCTGGCGCAGGAAGTGCTGACCCGCCGTTTGTATCAGCGATGCATGGATTGCGATGCTCAGTGTGTGGAAGATGTGTTTAGCCTTTTCGATGGGCAGGTGCCAGGGCGGGACCTGCGGTTGCTAGAAAGAAGACGCTAGGGGACGTTTGCGGTGACCTTCACAGCAAGGTCAGAAACAGTCATAACATGTCATAACTTCTCATTTGCTTGTTGATGCTCGTTGCCTTCAATCTTTCTGGAACTTTGGACACATGCTTTCTGCATTTTTTGGCAGTCCGGAGCCAAACTTAGTCTTCATTCACGGGATTGTCCAAGCATGGTACGTATGGTGCACATGTTCAGACTGTTTCCGTTTCCTCCGTTCGCCATTTGCATCCATTTGCTATTTCTCTCAATTTTAATTTCTTGAATTTTCTTCATTTTTTTGAATCATTTTGAGCCATTTTGAGTCCTTGGAATGTGCCTGGCAGGGCCACGGAGCTCGATGGACACCACATACATGGCGCAGCGATGACTTTGCGCTGCCCATGCCGCAGGGTGCAGCTGGGGATGAACTCTTCTTACGCCTGCGAGGACGCCACAAAGGCTGAAAAGGTGCCGTTCTTATCAAACTAGCGTAGCTAGATGCGGACATATACCACAAATAAGGTAATTACAAGACACACGCACACACATATATATATACATTAAAAAAAATAAGTGTCACAAAGTACTAAACAGATTTGTCTTGTGTTTGCTCCCACCAACTACTTCCCCTATTATATAATCCGACGCCCAAGCATGTCTTGAACCCTCAAAGATCTTAGAGTCTTTTGTCGCTCAGGAGTAGTGAAGCACAACGTCAAATACTCAAGTCTGGATGTGGGGAGGGTGCAGATTCCTGCTGAAGGTCTTTGATCTTGTAATTCCCTGGTGATAGGATCCTCCTGGGAATTTTCCCTAAAGAATTTCCTGGGATTCTTTAAGGGACGGGGTTTTCAAAGACAAAAGAATTACGTTTTTAAGGCTGGAAATGGGGTTTGGCACATTGTCGTGCAGGCGCTATCGTTGGTAGCATTTCTTGCTGGCGTTGTGACATCACTGTAATGCCAACACCGGATTATTAACCCCCCCCCAGAAGGTCGGTACTCTACCTTGTAGGTCATTTTCTTGAACACCCCTTAATAATAAGCAACTCTGAACCATAAAAAATTGGATATGGCTTGAGTCATAAGATTTGATACTTAAAACCTCATGAATCTCATCATATTCCATTGGATTTCATCAGGTTTGATACTTAATCAATGGGGAAGAATTTTAGATTAAAAAAATGGATTTCCGAAGTGGTGGTTGATTAATCGGGGGTAGGCCCACCGGTTTATCAATCAGGGGGGACCACCTGTTTTTAAATTTCATTTTTTTTTGGGCAATGGTGGTTGATTAATCGGGCGGGGTTTATTAATCCTCACTTGACATTACTGCTGAAAACATTACATACTGATACATACTGTACAATACCGTATATACCTGATGCTGATTTGGTAATATCTATGGAGCTGGGGGGTTGTGTATGAAGTGTCATGGTCGTGCAAGCTAGCCGGTTGTTTTCCACCATGTTTTGATAAATTCCTTAAATAGGAGACCAGTGGTTCCTCCTCCAAATCTTGGTGCTCCAAAAGAAAGAAAAAAAAACTCAGTGGCGATTTAGCCTGGGGAATCCCTAGGGAAATGGAGGTAGCTGTTGCACAGGTCGTGTGGACACGGGCTCTGATTTGAGAAAACAGTGGCCTAGCTATTGTACTATGCCTAGCTGCTCATTTTCCACTAGTTTTTGGGCCAAACATGTTTAAACCATTTTAAACCCTGCTAAATCCCTTAGAAATAAAAAGACCGGTGGTCCCTCCTCCAAGCATTGGTGCCCCAAACATTGGTCCCCCAAACATTGGTCCCTCCATCCATCATCATTCATCATCCATTTGATCCCTTCATCAAGCCAGATTACCCCCCAATCAAACTGTCAAAATTCCACCTCACACAGCGTGACCAATTTTTTAAGGGGACGAGCGTTTGCCTATGTTTGCCTATTCTTTAAGGCCTTGTTTGCCGGTCCTAATTCTTTAAGGCCTATTTTGGCCCGGTCTCCAATCCTTTAAGGTGACACCGCTTGGTCCCTTAAAGAATCAAGCCCTAGGGAAAACAGCCGAATTCCAAGGGCGATGTGATAGGTAATGAATTCAGACTGATTCAGATTAGTTCTTCCTAACCTACAGAAGATCTATGAAGTACTCTAATGTACTCTATTAAAGACTCTATTACGGTATTTCATTATGAAACATAATCCAATATAAGGTCCATGCTTTTCCGCGGTTTTAGTGTCGAAGCTTCTTGGGGTGAAGTTCTGAGGCACATCGATGGCCTGGAAAACATCCCACCTCGAACTTGCCTGCTCCAGGGCTTGGCCTTTGGCTGTGGCCACCCATGGCATCTTGGCACATCTTGGTCGTAACACCATGGCTGCCATGGTCGATGGTTATCCTGCAGTTGTGCCAAAACGATCCACAACGAGCAAGGAGATAGGATTATTTTTTGTGTGGTGTGATTATGTTGTTATTGTTCACATTCTTTCTGTGCTGCCTAAGTATCAGCAGTGTATTGCATTCATAGACTAGCCGTGTCACAGTTGCATACCAAGATCAATCACGCAACAGAGTCAGATGGAATGCCAGGGCCTCAGCGTCAACATGCGTCAACGGTGTGTAGACAGGAAGTAGCAAACCAGTCCTTTGGACTCCTTTGGCCAAGATGCCGCGTGTGGAAGATCGTTTCCTTGATACAAGAGTATACAAGAGTGCCACTCTTGATAGTGGATCTGTTTTTGGAGCATATCATACTCATATAATTCGGCTTAGTTCAACTAGGCTTTGACTGGTCGACTGAGAGAGTCATCATCAGCGGCATCAGTGTGAGAGGCCAAATTGTGCGCATGTTTTCATTGGAGTGCTGCCCTCAGAATATACAAGCGCCACTAATGCGAAATATCATGAAATATGACCAAGATCAAACTGCAGAAACTGCACTGAGGATGTCATGATTTTCCGTGCCACGGCGCCCATTCAAGCAGGACAGGAGGTCCTGGACCGTGAGATGCCCCAGCTCTTTGCTGAACTTTGGAAGCATCCTGATGCGTCCTGTGACGCTCGTCACCAAGGATACAGCACACCCTTGGCGGATCACTTTGAGTTCACCCTGCACACCTTGGCTGCACATGGCATGCGAGATCCAGTCTACGAGGCCCGGTTACCGGGTGTGGGCCAGTTTGTTGGTGGAGAATGTTGGAGATGACAGACCAAACAGACCATTAAATGGTGCATAGTCACTCAGTCAATAGCATGAATTCTTTTTGAATACGCTTTGCGTGCTTCTAATTTGGAACATTTTGGAACCTAAATTGGTCCCTGACATTCTTGGACAAGCCCCTGACATGAACTCAAAAGCTCCAGGGCAGCCTGCTGTAGGCCCTGTAGGCAATGGCGAGTGGCTGTATATGGTAACTGTTTCCCCAAACAGCAAGGTAAACAGCATGATTGGATTGGCGACAAGCTTGACGGGGTTGGTCATTGCGATCCCTGGCGCAGAGTGGAAGAACGCCTCTAAACATCTCTAAACCACTAAACCACTATCTTGTGCTCATGATCCACCCATTTCCTGTTTGTATGTTGACTTGTTGAATCTTGTTGAAGTCTTCAGGCTGCTGCTGCACGTTGGCAGGAAGGCTCCGGGGCCAAGGAAACCATTGAAACCAGATAAAGCTGTTTGCTTAGGCATTTGGAAAGACTCGGACGGGAAGGGACGGAAATGGTTTCAAAGCTGCCCAGCTGAGAAGCAGAACGGTATTAAGTAGGGGACTGTTTAGATCGATACCAAACACATACATCATTTTTTATGATTTACAAGCTAGCAGTCTGGCCTGAACTTGAACCAATCTTCAACTCTTGATTTTTTTGGACCCCATGTTTTGACACTGTGTGCTTCAGCCTAGCCACCTCACCTCATTCCACTCCCAAGTAGATTTTGCAGGTGGTGCGAAGCTGTCGAACGAGAAAGCCCAGCTGGTAGAAACTTGGCTAAACGTGCAGCGTGCAACCAAAAAACGAACGCGACATGTTTGGAGCATATTATTAGTGGGAGAATCTGCTTTGTTTCCAATTTTAGAAGCTACTTTTGCCATTTTGTCAGACTTCCTGTCAGCAAGTCAATTGATCCCTTACCCCTATTACTAAAGGTCCCCCAAATACTGAGAACTAGGGTCCATTACCAATTTCGGGAAATGTAAGGTTGGCCAATTTGATTTTTTGTTGATACCCTTTAGATAGCCATTGAAAAATCAAGGTTCCATTTGAGGGTTTCACCCTTTAATAAATAGACCCAGTTGGTTGGTGGTGGTTTGTTATTTATTAGGGTTAATTTTAGTTTTTTTTGTTTTTCCGTCAAGGTTGTGATTTAATCATATACGTGTAGTACAAGATTTGAAATTTGGCAATATTTTGATTTGATTTAATTTAAATAATAAGAAACCGTGATTGAAGATTTGATTGATTTTGAAATGGAACATTTTAGTCTTGCATTAGGGTTTGATTTGATTATTAGGGGAAAAGCTTCGAAATTCTTTTTTTTGCAGTACTGGTATTTCAAGATTTGATTGCTTTAGCAGTGGAAACTGTGAGTTGTTTTTGATTGAGGTTTCAATTTCATTGTTAGGCGGACGCTTCTCACCCAAATCCTAAATATTACTCCAGGTATTTATTATTAGGGGGGAAGGGGGGCCTAGTATTAGGGGGAAGGGATGACTGCTTTATAAGTCCGCATTGTGCTACTCCAGCTGCTCAGTGAGAATTGCAGTGATGCGACGCAGTGGACTTTTGAAAACCCCAGTGAATCGACCCCATGAGTTCGGAAAGTCAAGTTGCAAGTTTTAGCGAAAAAAATAAAAGCTTTGGTATAGTATTGGGATGGCAATGAAATGTTTTTCTGTTTCAGAGCGTCTTGTGAGGAAACTCTGACTTCAATTGAGAGAAAGGTCACATGGAGCAATGGCAACTTGGCAAGCAAGCCCTAAGTAAATTTGCGTAGCTTCATGATGCGGCATGAACTTCCTGAAAGTAAGCGGGGCGTGACTCCAATCTTGGCTCAACCATGGGAGGCAGTGCAGGTACTGAGCATATTGGGCTAGAGCTGTTCACTTCATGTGGGGCTTCCAATTCAAATTCATGCCATAAGTTCAGGTATGTTCTTGGTTAGTTTTTTGTTGTGATGCAGAAGGTGAAGGGAGGAGACTTATTGACAAATTTGATCTTATTTGATCTTATTTGAAAGATTTTGAGAGCATGTTTCCATTTCATTACATTTTAGTTTGATCGAACAAAATGGTTTGTCATCCTATCATCCAGGGAATTGAGTGAAGTTCCAGCCTGTGACTGTGACTTTGCAAATCTTTGCAACTAAAGGTCGTTCAAGGCTGAAATAGGATCCAGCTGATAAGTTCCACTTATCAGTTGTCTGTCAAGATGAGAGACGTTTGTCATTACAGACTGCAAATCATTCGAGCCCAGGAACTTGGGAAAAATGAGATATGTACAGATTGTAAATGCCATCTCTTCACCTCTCAGTGTGCGATGGTGTGTACATTGATTGATCAGAAAAAACCCTAGCATCAAGAATAATCGGTCATACACACACACAGAATGTCAAAACTTCAGTTTTGATATGTTGCAATATGTTGCATGGGCTACTCCCCTCAAAGAAAAGTGTCCCACGCATCTAGAATCTAGAATCTAGTTGAAGGATGCCAAGTCTTGTTTGTTGCAGTGGATCTGAGGTGTCCATTCTGTGGTTCTCCCAGAGTATGAGGCCTTGGCACAATCTCGTACAACCATTCATAAGATTTCATAAGCACCCACAGCTGAATTTTCCTGCTTGATAGCTGATGATAGCTGTCCATGTTTGCTTCCAGTACCTCCAGTCAATCCTTGATAGCTGTCATAGCTGTCCATGTTTGCTTCCAGTACCTCCAGTCAATCTGCAAAGTCTTTGGGTGAGGCGTTACGAGACCGCTACAAGGCTGCAGCCGTCACTCCTACTGCAGGAGAACTGCCTTTGGCCCCACCCGAGGCAACCAATTTGTCGTTGTGGTGCAGTCATTTCTGCTCTTTGTATCCATTCGTATTCTATTCGTTGTTTGTGGATAGTATGAATTCGGAAACTGTGGCATAGACGACAGCTGCGCCTGGATTTTGCCATTTGAACCGTTTCCATAATGTTGGCCAACGTTGGCCAATGCTAAGTTGTTGACACCACGCTTGTGCCACACAGAGACACTCGTGTATCACAAGTTATCAATGCACAGCACAGATGGAGCTCCGAGCTCAGAGTATCCTGTTCCGCAGGTGAGGGCGTTGAACCTCCTGTGCGTTTTGGGCTTCCAGTTCGAGGCCAGATTCCCAGGTTCCTGGCATTGCAGTGCAGCGTCAGAGGAGGTCTACTCTTTCAGATTCCCGCATTAACGTATCACATATATAAAACTATATTTATAAGAAATCAGTATTTAAGAAATCAATATATAAAACTATTTAATACTATTTATATATCACATGTATACACACACATACATATATATATATATATATTAAAGAAATCAGTTTATATATATATAAGTACTTTATAAGATTTTCAAAACAACTACCAACCGACTGTCGTGATTTGTTATACCCTGTCGCAACGTATCACAGATCTCGCAGGGACGTTGTGCTGCCTTGGAGTGGCGTGCTGAGCTGGTCCGGCGATTGAGCTTGGCGCGGCCGATGCATTTCGCTCAGGCCCATCTTGGGATGCCTTGTTGCCGTTGCCACATGTTGCAAAATGAAAAGCCACATGTTGCCATATGTGTCTAATGTGTTGTACTCGTAGGATTGTGTCGAATGCAGGGCTTTTTGGGTTCGCTTCGATGGTTTCCGACATTCCCCGGATGGTGAGTATACTTGAGTGCTGTGACCGGGGTCACAAAAAGTTTGAAATCGCGCTTTCCCTGTCACCTGTTAGGAAACAGGTTTGCTTTAAGGAACGGACCAATCATGGCTACTCAAATTAATTGAGTATTCTGAAAGTGCTTGGCATTGCCTTCGCTTTTCGTGTCTCTTATGATTTCTGGATGTTGCTGGGAAGGTTCTTGACATTTCTTGACCTTGAACTGCACCGGTATCGAAGTTGAAGGCACTGTTTCTAGCCTTTGAAGGTGAAGCTTTGGGCTGAGCTGTTCGAGCGTTTGGAGCATTTGAAGGTTGGGGAGAGACTGGTGGTGCGACATGGTGTGATTGCATATGATTGGATGTTAGGTAGCAGAGGCATTGCCTTGCAGATAAGGAATGAAGACACATGGAGACCATAGGAAATCAAGGAAATTATCAGAAATTACGCGTCTGAAGCAAAGGTGTTTCGCTTTGCTAAGTGTATGATGGGGTGAAACCTTACACGGACTCAGGGCCTCACCTGTTGCGAGTCAATGTAAAGGGGACGTGTGCCATGATGTTACAGAGATATTATATATATATATACCTAGCGCATCAAGAACCCACAAATTTGTAGGTTGTTTTTCAAAAACCCGTTGTTTTTTTCTTCAGTTATTTAAAATTACTTTACTTCGTGTGATCCCCACCATGACATTTATACATGTTCTTACTGGCACATCTTCTGGCATTCTATCTGACATATCTTCTGACATTCTATTTGGCATTCTATCTGGCATATCTTCTGGCATATCTTCTGGCATTCTATCTGGCAAATCTTCTGGCATTCTATCTGGCATATCTTCTGGCATTCTATCTGACATATCTTCTGGCATTCTATCTGGCATTCTATCTGGCATATCTTCTGGCATATATTCTGACATATCTTCTGGCATTCTATCTGGCATTCTATCTGGCATATCTTCTGGAATATCTTATCTGGCATATCTATCTGGCATATCTTCTGGCATATTTTCTGGCATTCTACCTGGCAAATCTTCTGGCACTCTATCTGACATTTTATCTTCCTATATGAGGTCCGGCAGGGAACACTTGGCATGGATACTCGCGGTTGAGGTCCGGCAGGGAACACTGGGCGTGGATGGTCGTGGTTGAGGTCCGGCAGGGAACACTGGGCGGGGATGGGTTGAGGTCCGGTCGTGGTTGAGGTCCGGCAGGGAACACTTGGCGTGGATGGTCGCGGTTGAGGTCCGGCAGGGAACACTGGGCGTGGGTGGTCGTGGTTGAGGTCCGGCAGAGAACACTGTGGATCGCGGGTCGCAGTTGGATGAGGACGACGAGGACGACGAGGACGACGAGGACGACAAGGACGACAAGGATGACGAGGAGGACGAGGAGGACGAGGAGGAGAGGAGGAGGAGGAGGACGAGGCAGGAGGAGGCAACTGACATAAAATCTAACAACCCTCACCTGGCAGGTGGGGAAAAAACACGTTTTTTCTCAGAAAATATTGTTGTTTTTTCTTTACTAGGGAAAAAACCTATTTTTTTCTCACACTTGGTGTCATGACATCTCATGATTCGTTCCCTTAGACGATTCAAACCCCTTTATTGATACCAGCCTTGGATCTATCCCTCTCAGTACCCTTCATGTTGATTATGCTTCCACCCTGCTGGCTTTGGCAGTTCTCACAAGAAAAGGCCCGATGCTCTTGGAAAATGTCGGACAGCATTAAGTGTGATCACAGTCAATCTGGAGTCGTTGGATGATTTTTTCCCAAGAGCAACCCCTAGAAGCATAAATTGAAACATGGCTGGATTTTTTCATTGGGAAAAAAATGATTTTGGATTGCCAAAGTCCAACAAACAGTCGAACAAAAGTATCGAACAAAATTAACAAAATCAAGAAAAATCTTTTAATCATTTCGGATGAAAGTTTTAGGGTCTGTACCCAAAAAATGCCAAAAACCCATATTTAAGCCGTACTAAGCCGTACTAAACCCATATTTAACCCGTACTAAACCCATATTCTGATGTAGTAAAAAAAACATGTCTTTTTTTGGAGCCCATATTTAAACCATATTTAACCCATATTTAACCCATATTTAACCCATACTAACCCGTACTAACCCGTACTCAAAATATTGGTTTTTTGCCTCTGCGAATTAATAGCGCGACGTCGAGTTTTAAGGCTCCGCTTTGTGGTTTTGCAAGATCGAACCGGTAATTTCCCGATCCAGACAAAAAGAAAACAACACAGATTACCGGAGCTATTGTCAATTTACTGGGTTCATATCTGAAAAGCTGACTTTTGAAATGCCATGCATATCCATTGTGACTTTTTGACTACCTCCAGTCCCGCTGAAGGGACAGTTCGCAGCATAGGAGGCAACTGCGGCTGGTGGAGAATGCGCGCATCGTGTCTGAGAACGCTTGCTTCGGTTTCGATCGCGCGTTCTGTCTGACAGATCTCACAAGTTGTCAGTATGAAATTGCTACATGTAATGAGGAGAAGCTTGATACAGGCCCACCCGATTTGGACAAATTTGTGCAAATCCAACAAAAACCAAAATATGGGTTCTTTATAAAAACCCGGTTTTTCGCGAAAAAAACTAAGTTTTTTCACTGGACCTACAATTTTTTGGGTCTTTGAAGCTCCTGGTATATATTATATGTGATGATGATAATAATAATGAAAGTTTAAATATATAGCAATAATAATTAGAGCAATTATAAGAATAGTATTATATATATATATATATACACAGATATGACATGATCACTCATGATATCACATCACATGTGGATCCATGTGGTTTCCAGCTGCTTGTCACGAGCTGCTCCCCCGAAGAAAGATGTGGCCACCACTATCCAAAAGTCATCCAGAATCCCTAAAATTGCTAAACAACCTGATGATAAGTCGTGGTAATTGCATGTGACTTTTTAGGGCTTTCGCATTGACTGTTCGGAATCTTATTTTCAAACACGTTGGGCTGCACCCAAAATTCATCAAAATTCTACAGGAGTGTTGTTATTTTTCCCCATTCTATTGTAATGAATGGCAATTTTGGGAGCATGCCCCACTTTTGGACAAACAGCAAAACCGGCATTTCTAGCCAGGCCAAAGACAAACTGAGCAGCAAAGAGCAAGAGCTGTCCGAAGAGGTTGGGGGCGCACAAGACACAAACGTGGATCCAATTTGGAGTGGGGACATCTCATGAAAGTGATGATTGACATATATTCGCTTTAAGATCATTAAGGTACTTTCATCTTATATAGATCACCTCAGGAAACGTCATGATCTCTGCAGCCATTGGAAGCCAACCGTGATCCGTATTTTCGTATCGGCAGACGCCAGAATAATATTAGATCCCTGATAAAAACCTCGCCATGGTCCCGATGCTCCTCGCAGCATTGGTAGTCGTCGCCCGCAGCCAGCATTCTGAGCATTCCTGCTTACTGCAGAAAACCACGCCTGGTGGAGCTTCGCTCCTGGCGCCGCCAGTGGTATCGGTTCCAGGGTGGACGGCTGACGGCCAAGGGAGTTGCGCTGTCACACTTGCCACTAAGAGTAACGAGCTTATCTTCGCACAGTGTGGCCAGTTTTGCGACGGCGTCAATGGCGCCAATGCCTTTGCCGTGTTCTTCGGGGTGGCACCTGAATGCCGGTGTTGCGTCGGTCTTGATGGCGGCACTGCAAACACATATACAAGGGATGCAGGTGAGGTACAGTCAAAACTCTGGTAGACGACTCTAATAATATATAGAGATGAGAGTGCGGTGTTCACTTAGTGTCGGGAAAGTGCACCAAAAACTGTGCAGCCCCCCAAAAAGTGATACATATAGCGATACGATACCCATGGTTGTGCAACAATTGTGCATAGTGTCCACATCTGAAAGTCGTTTTACACAAAGTTGCGTACATGCAAGGTGCAAAATTAGAAATACCCCTAGCGAATCCTACCTATGCCATGCGATGCCTTAGCGAGCCTTGCCGCTTTCCTTTCCTCTTCCGAATCACAGGTTCAGATGTTGCTTCCTCTTGCGTCCTTTTTTTCCTCTTCCCTTCCTTTCCTGTTTTTTCCCGAGCTGCCACGTGAGCATCTCTAGATTTTAACAAAGCGCCCCCAGGCACGCATGCGCACAACGGGATATTCTAGTATGGTGAGCTCGCCAGCTCTCTGGGGCCCAAACCCAGGGAGAATGTCAAACAGAATGCCAGATATAATGCCGTCACAGGGAGATTGCCAGAGTTTTTGGGAGTCTGTGGGAGCAGTTGGCTTGCATTGTATGGGACGGCGGCGGACAGAAACGCCTGACAGAGAGAGAGAGAGGGAGAATGCTAGATAGAATGTTTTGTCACATGGAATGCCAGATAGAATGCCATAATCTCTGTCAGATAGGAATGGCAGATAGATGTCACACTACACATCAGATAAAATATAATTAAATTATAGTTATAATTAGTTATATATATATATATACATACTGCTAATATTTATATATATATATTAAAATTATATAGTTTAAAATTTAAAATTATATAATTTAAATTTAAATGACAGAATATATATACATATTGTAAATATATATATATATAGATATATGTGTGTGTAACATCTAAATAGATGTAAAACTTCTCCTTTTTTCTTTTTCTTTCCTCTCTCTTTCTAATAAAGCAGGGGGACTGGAGGCGATTTGCCTATCCATTCCAACGAAGCTATGGCATTTCGGTGGATGAGTGGTCTGATCAACCACTTGTACCTGCATTGGTTTTTCTCTCCGTATGGCAAGGGGCTAAGCCAAGAACCCCAACAACGGAATTTGAATTTTACACTGTTGTCGCAATTTGAAAATTTTACACGGCTGTCGCAATCTGAATTTATTTTCGACGCCATGGTCTTGGTCTACGGTTTATTGGATGTTATCTGGTGGATTTCGATTTGATGACATTTCTGGCAGTGATTGTCTTCTCGGAGTACCTCCCATAGATCACCTTAGGTCCCAAGTTTTTGTTTTCCTGACTAATTTGCACGTTTACAGGACTCAGTTCCTGATGGATCTATTCAAAGATCCAATTTTGTCTAGTGTGATATCCATGGTGGCTCCGACATGTTGCCATGGAGCCATTTGAGGCAACCCTGTTTAGGGTGACTGCTGACAAACTTGACTTCCGAATTTACACATTTTAACTTGGTAATTCATTTAAAAAAAAAGTGAAACAGACGGCTTTTCTGTTCTGCACTTTTTTCAAGATGTCCTGCCGTTCCTGCCGTCCCTTGGGATCCATTGGAAAGATCATCTCTTAACGTCTGATGTGAATCCGAACAGCCAGAAACTCCATTTTCTGCCACTGCAGCTCGAATTTCGAAGGCCAACATGACACGTGCGACCAAAGGCAACAGGCATGTCCTTTTCCTGCAGGTGTGGTCTCTTTGGTTTTTGGCGAGGTTGAACATATTGTGCACCTAATTCGTTGGAACTCGTATAGCTGTAGCTGTTTATGCCATTGCGGCACGACTTGACCACGGTCCCGAAGGGGAGTAACGACTTCTGTTGTAGTTGGAACTGGGTCCTTTTAGATTAATTGTTTTGGTTGTTTTACGCCCGTCACCAACTAGCCCCCATTCGGTCCCTAATTCTTCCCCTGTGTTTCTCCGTAAAGTGTCGTGGGGTTTAAATGTGGGCTCTGTTTTTGTCAGGTCCGTTTCTCCGCGTAGGTTGGTTCTGGAGGTCCGTTCGTTCCCTTCCCCCCCTGCGCTGTTCTGGCCTTTTACCCGTCGTCTGTGTCCGCTTTTTCCTTCCTCTTGCCTTTCAGGGTTGACCCGGCTCCGGCCGGGTGTGTGTGTGTGTAACATCTAAATAGATGCAAAACTTCTCCTTTTTTCTTTTTCTTTCCTCTCTCCTTTTAATAAAGCAGGGGGGCTGGAGGCGATTTGCCTATCCAGTCCAACGAAGCTATGGCATTTCGGTGGATGAGTGGTCTGATCAACCACTTGTACCTGCATTGGTTTTTCTCTCCGTATGGCAAGGGTCTAAGCCAAGAACCCCAACAACGGAATTTGAATTTTACACTGTTGTCGCAATTTGAAAATTTTACACGGTTGTCGCAATCTGAATTTATTTTCGACGCCATGGTCTTGGTCTACGGTTTATTGGATGGTATCTGGTGGATTTCGATTTGATGACATTTCTGGCAGTGATTGTCTTCTCGGAGTACCTCCCATAGATCACCTTAGGTCCCAAGTTTTTGTTTTCCTGACTAATTTGCACGTTTACAGGACTCAGTTCCTGATGGATCTATTCAAAGATCCAATTTTGTCTAGTGTGTGTGTGTGTACCGTCTGAATAGACGTAAAACTTCTTATACTTTATATATCTATTTGCGGGGGGTCACCGGGGTCCCTGGGAGGTCGGTGACCAACGAAGACACCTCCCGGGGACCCGTGTAAACGTACCCGCGGGAGTGGTGACGCACCTGGGCGCAATTGTAAGACGCAGCTGGTGGTCACCATAGTCCCATATATATATATATATTTCATCCATATCTAAGTAACTTATCTAAGTAACTAATCTAATCTGCATGTTACAGGACTCAGTTCCTGCCGGATCATATAATGATCCATTCTTGTCTAGTGTGATTTCCATGGTGGCTCCGACATGGTGCCATGGAGCCATTTGAGGCAACCCTTTTTAGGGTGAGTGATGACTGTCCTGACTGCCGAATTAACACTTTTCAATTTAGTAATTCGTTTAAGTAAATTGCAACAGTTGGCCTTACGGTTTGTCAGCCTTTTTGAGATCTCCTGCTGCTCCGGATGTCCCAGGGCTCCCAGTGATCTGCTCTTTCAAGTGATGCCATACCGAACATTCAGAAACCTCCGTTTTCACTGCAGCTTCAGCGGGTGCGATGAGACATGACATGCAAGACAACAGGCAACAGGCATGTCCTTTTCCTGCAGGTGTGGTCTTTTTGGTTTTTGGTGAGGTGAAACATATTGTGCATCTAATTCGTTGGAATTTGATAGCCGTTTTATGCCCTCGTGGCTGACTGGAACACGGGCCTGGATTGGCGCAACGCACGACTTGTAGGTTAGGAACTGAATCCTGTTTGTTGTTTTGTTTTTGTTTTCACCAACTAGTTCCCCATTGGTCCCCTATCTCATGCTTTCTTCCCTCCCCAGGTAGGTTGGCTCTGTCGCGTGCTGAGGTTTTTGTAGGTTTTCGCTGTGTCAGGTTGGTTCAGGCGCTTCCGTCTTCCCCCCCCTCCGTTGGTCTTGGTCCGTGTCCGTCGACCCTCCGCTTTTTCTTTTCCCTTGCCTTTTCAGGGTTCGCCCGTTCCGGGCTAGGTCTCCTTCCCTCTTCTTTTGCGTCCTGGTTAAGTAACTTTCATCTCATTTTCATTCTCATCTCATCTTTCATCCCCTGTTCATCCTCATCTTCATCTCATGTTTACGCGCACCACCCTGCCGGAGGCAGGGTGTGTGTGTGTACCGTCTGAATAGACGTAAAACTTCTTATACTTTATATATTTATATATGCGGGGGGTCACCGGGGTCCCTGGGAGGTCGGTGACCATCGAAGACACCTCCCGGGGACTCGTGTAAACGTACCCGCGGGACTGTGGTGACGCACCTGGGCGCAATTGTAAGACGCAGCTGGTGGTCACCATAGTCCCATATATATATATATATTTCATCCATATCTAAGTAACTTATCTAAGTAACTAATCTAATCTGCATGTTACAGGACTCAGTTCCTGCCGGATCATATAATGATCCATTCTTGTCTAGTGTGTGCATGCGTATATATATATATTTGTACATATATGTGCATATCAAATAGAATGCCAAATAGAATGCTGGAATCTTTGCCAGTTCGGAATGCCAGATAAAATGCCAGAATGTGCTGTATGTCAAATAAAATGCCGGGTCAAATGCCAGATAGAATGCAAGAGAAGATGTCAGATAGTATGGGTAACATATCAATCATATTGTTCCTTTCCTTTTTTTCTTTCCTTGCAAAAAGTTGATCCTCCTCCTTCATAAGTACGAAAGTACAAAATCATGTTTAGCGATAGGTCCCCCCGGAAAAAACGAATTGATAATATCTGATAACTATTTCTAAAAGCAAGGCACAGGGTTTTGATGGCAGCTCAGGTGCGGTGGTGATAGGCGATCCGCACATCACCACTTTGGATGGAGTTCATTACACGCTCCTGAGCCAAGGAAGTTTCTCCCTATGGCACTTTCACGGTCTCGAGGCAGAGATCGCAGTGGCGGAACATGGGGCGGTCAAGAAGATGCCGGTCGATTGGGAAATCTACACCCACTATTCCGGGCGCCAATCCTTGACCAAGGGATTATTGCTGGTGGACAGGTCTGGAGGAATGGCTCGGCAAGTTCTTGAACTCACCTCAAAGGATTGCCAGTGGAGGGCAAAAATTAGAACTGCGGATTGGAGTATGGTGAGCAAGCCACAGTTCATCTCTGTTCCAGATGAAACTGGTTCCTACGTGTCCGGATTCAACTTGACGAACAACAGAGTTTCTGGGGGTCATGGTCACCACATCAACCAAGTCCGCCTCAATATGATCACGAAAGATGGCATCAGTGACATCGCTGTCCTTGGTTTAATCTGCAGGCCGCAACGCAGTCTGAATCTCCATTTGGTCATGAAACGAAAGGGCGACACTCGCTTCGTAGATGGGGAGCTGTCTGCTCGGAAGTCAGTCATGCTGTCGGAAGTCAGTCATGCTGTCGTCACTCCAGACATCCTCGACATCCTTGGACGCGGAATTCGCAATCAGAGGCAGGTGGCAAGACATTGGAGGCAGTGACCAAGCAGCTGCCTATTTCCGACTCATCGATGAAGACAAGGCAGTGGCCAAGTCATCCCTCCTTCAAACTTGCAACAGTATGGCAGAAAAAGATCAAGCCAAATCTACTTGCACCAAGTATTTGGAGCCCTTCAGGCACTTGGATCGCACCGGCTCGGTCTTCAATGACTGCGTTGATGACGTGTGCCACGGGGCGGGAGAGGTCGCAGCTGAGATGGCTGGAGAGCTTCTTGCATCCTTGGGTGCTGACGGCATTTGAAGAAGGACTTTCTGGCTTTCATTCAGTGAAACATTTGAAACATTTTGAAACCATTGGCCGCAGCTGCCGCATATAATTGACAATTGGACGCAGTCGTTGTTTGCAGCCGTTGAAGCAGTTGGCAATGAACCAACAGCCCCATGGCACACAGTCCTGCTTGAGAGTACAAAATAAAGTCATTTCGCATTTCAATTGTTGCAATTGCAAGCTGAGGGGTAGGGATTGCCGAACCGAACCACTTTTAGATGCTTTTAGAACCATTCAGATCCATGGCAAACCGTTGGAAGCCCCGGCAAAAAAAGGGCTGGACCACGCACATCCACGCACTATACTGCACTGGTTGCCCCAGTCATCGCTGGTGAGTTTTTGCAGAATCGACCCCTGCAACGCCCGTGTTTTGATCCAGGTGAATCGTGAGCTTTGCCAATGTGCAGCCTTTTGGATCACTGGGAAGATGGAGACCAAGAGCATTGAGTCTGAGTGGAAGCAGTTGCCTGGCTAAAACAGGATGGAAACACATGGAAATATTGCAATAGCACAATACCATACAATACCATACAATACCTAGAAACACCGCTAGGCCGAAAAAAGTGCCCAACTCTCCTGTAGGCAGAAAATTCTGCCCAACCTTAGGAGGAAATGCCGCGGACAAAAACAAACGCCGATGCCCTAACAAAAATGCTGAACATCATCTGGTCCCACTATATGGTTTTGGGCACCCTGCATGATAGATGCTGATTTGGTTGAGCAGGTTTTGGCGAAAAGACCGCAAACACCAAATTTCCCCTCATTCCATTTCCGCCTAATTCTGTTTTTTTTCCGCCTAATTCCGTTTCTTTCCGCCTAAATTCCGGTTTTTCCGCCGAAATTCCGGCTAAAAATGCCGAGGCCAAAAGCATGTTCAACATATTCAACATGTTTTGAAGACGGGCCCCCATCGGTATTCCTTGATTCAAAAGTACAAACCAGTTGAGAGTTCAACCCTGTCGAGATTGGACCCATTGGGGATGTTTTTAAAAAAACGCCGACAGAAGAAAAGAAATGCCGACGCATTGGATGTTCAATGTGCCCAATGGATCTTCTAGGTATAGCCAAGTACTGAGAAGGCATGAAGAGTTTAACTAAAGCATATTAAATGACATGTAAAATATGAATCTCCACAGCCTTCACTGTGTCAATACACATTTTTGACAACAAGTTCTACTTCTGGTGGCAGCAACTCCAGGGCGGGAACAGGGACAAACAGGGAGTGTCAGTGACAGATGAGGAAACCACCATTTAGGGACGTCAATGATCGTCAATTTGATGCAATGTTTTTCCAATGACCAAGAATGGCTCTGAAAAGTTTGTTCCTGGTCGGATGCTCGAGACGCAGAAGCTGCCAGGGATCCTGATTCAGGCAGCCCCTCTCTCAAATGAAAGGAATGATAATTGCCATTAATTGCCTAAGTATGTGGCTCTAGTTTCCTTCAAGTTGTTTGCAGACATGACAAACACACGCCACAAATCAGGGGGAGTCTGCTTCAAGTAAGCGTTTGCATCCCATTAAGTGTTGTGACAACTTTGGGGGGGCAACTTCACGATGGATTTCAACTTCACGATGGATTTCGTGTCTCAGTCAACACTATGCACTGACATTGTTGAATGGCAAGCATGAAGGCAAGCATGAAGGCAAGCATGAAGGCAAGCATGAAGGCAAGCATGAAGGCAAGCATGAAGGCAAGCATGAAGGCAAGCATGTGATAGTTGCACGAGTGACAGTCTAGTGAGTCTAGTAGACTAGTCCTTCCAATCCACGTGACAGTCTCATTGTTCCCCAAGCGACCTGATCCCATGGGCTTTGATGCAGCAGCTCTGATGAGAAACGATGCCAAGACGGCGACACCAGTGCCAAAAACTCGAGATGAGCGCTTGCGCGACTTCTATGCACAGCACAGCACTGCATTAGAAGAAAGTACTCCTTGGCAGCTTCAGCAGACGGAGGTGAAAGAATCACAAGAGCTTCGGAAAAAAGGGAATGATCTCTTTGAAGCTCAAGACTATGAAGCTGCAGTAGAGCACTATACTGCTGCGATCAAGAATCATGTCGACTTGGTCAGCTGAAGTGTTTGGTTTTGGTGTTTTCTTACTTTCGGTGGACGGCTGTGGCACAACCACAAAATGACATGGATTTCAGCCCATTCAGCAAAGGAAAGGCGCAACATCAGTGCTCCACTCGAACCGTGCAGCAGCATATATGATGCTGGGCTGGTGGCAACAGGCGTTGAGGGATTGCAACCTTCACAGATTTCAGATTTTTTTAAAGTGTTTTTTGAGGAGGTGATTGAACTGGAGCCAGCCTTGTAGGTTTGTAGAGAAACTCATTGTATCTCATTGTGGCATTGGCTTCCCTGTCAAGCAAGGTTCTGGTCCATGTTTATATATATATATATGTCCCGCTTTTCCAAGCAGTTGCCTGTTTTTGTTTTTCCTATTTTTCCGTGTTTGAGGCAAGGAAGCTTTGCGGAAAGACCCTAACAACGTCAAAGTACTGGAGCGCCAGGGTCGCATTTTTTTGGCATTGGATGATTTGGATGCTGCAAGCTCCGTGGTGACCAGGCTGAATCTATGACAATTATACATACGATAACTATAAAATAATAAGTTATATAGTAATTAATTTATGAGTACTGAATATGTTGATGATTGTATGTGTTCTTGATACTTATGCCCTTCCCATCCCTTCCCCAGTATATATATATATATACATATATATGTGTGTTGTTGTTGTTTCCAACATGTTGTAACTATATACATTCTATATACTACATGTGATATAATGTGTTTATTATATGTTATTATATAGTGTAACCCAATGTAACCTAGGTGACCCTGGAACCCAGAAGGCAGATGCACTGCAGTCTTCGTACATATGTAGTCTGTATCACATGATAAAACAGAAGCAGTTTCATCATAGACACAAGGACACTACGACACATATTCTGTCGATTTGCGTCGTGCAAAGGTGGTTGACTTGGAGCAACGAGGGCCGAAGGAAACCTTCAATGGCAGCGAGCGGCCTGCTTTGAGCGTTCGCCGCTTGAGGTGGTTGACAGAGGCTGCCCGCCAGCCATTCTCCACGTTGGATGACTGCCATGCTTTTTTGGAACATTATTCTTCGAAGGCAGAGCTGATATCTCCTTTGGGTGTGCGCCTTCGAAAAGCCTTACTCAAGGGATGCCTGACTATGCATGACAGTCACTACTTGCTCAGGGGCTTCCTTTTCATGGCATTGTTTGGAACTTATGCATGAGCCACTTCCTTACAATACAATTTCATACAATTTCAATTTCAATACTAGCTGGTCTTCATGTGCAATAAGGACTGGTGGAACGTTCTGATGCAGTGGATAACCAACGCCGCATTCGCCCCGCCTTGGCCTACAACCAGAGATCTGTGGAGTTGGCTGGGGGTCAAGATGCAGATGAGATCGAAGAGCTGAGACTTGGGCACAACTGGGATTGTCTATGCGGTTTTCAAGTCGTTCGGACATAATTCGTGGCTCTGGTTTGTGGATGTTCATGGCCTAATATGTGTATATATATAAATATATATATATAAATATATATATATATATATAATATAATATATATATATATATAAATAAATTAAATTAAATTATAATGTTATATTATAATACTACTAGGACTAGGGTTTTACTTGGGATATTTTGTTTGGTAGATGAATCTTGGGTAGATTGAGCTGATGCAGCGGACTGAAGACTGATCGCCCGATAGACAGTTGATGTGAGCTAAGGATTCCCTATGCGGAGGAAGCTGTTAAAGTCTCTGGTGAACTACTGGAAGACTTCCCAGAAGATGCTGATGCAAGGTATTGGCGCGGCCGTGCCCTTCTACGTTTGGGGCGGCATGCTGATGCTGACCGGCAATTTCAGGAAGGCTTGAAGCATGGTGACCATCAGTCGCCTGTTTGTTTTATATTGGGCACAGTTTCAGGGAAGGTCCTTTATGTTCCGGGATGGAAACATGTATCGGCTCCTTTTGCAACATTTCCTCAGCTGAATAAGGCACATTTCCGTGGCCCTCAAGTCCAGTTTCGTATATACTCTAAGTCAGAGTGCTTGTTCCCCACCTGCCAGGTGAGGGTTGTTAGATTTTATGTCAGTTGCCTCCTCGTCCTCCTCCTCCTTCTCCTCCTCCTCCTCCGCCTCCTCCTGCCTCGTCCTCCTCTCCTCCTCCTCCTCGTCCTCCTCGTCGTCCTCGTCGTCCTTGCTCAACTGCGACCCGCGATCCACAGTGTTCTCTGCCGGACCTCAACCACGACCATCCACGCCCAGTGTTCCCTGCCGGACCTCAACCACGACCATCCACGCCCAGTGTTCCCTGCCGGACCTCAACCACGACCATCCCTGCCGGACCTCAACCACGACCATCCACGCCCAGTGTTCCCTGCCGGACCTCAACCACGACCATCCACGCCCAGTGTTCCCTGCCGGACCTCAACCGCGAGTATCCACGCCAAGTGTTCCCTGCCGGACCTCATGTAGGAAGATATGGGACAAAGAATGTGCAGAAGAAAGTTAGAAAGAATGTCAGAAAGAATGTCAGAAGATATGCCAGAAGATATGCCAGAAGATATGCCAGATAGAATGCCAGATAATATGCCAGAAGATATGCCAGATAGAATGCCAGATAGAATGCCAGAAGATTTGCCAGATAGAATGCCAGAAAATATGCCAGAAGATATGCCAGATAGATATGTCATGCCAGAAGATATGCCAGAAGATATGCCAGAAGATATGTCAGAATATATGCCAGAAGATATGTCAGATAGAATGCCAGAAGATATGTCAGAATATATGCCAGAAGATATGCCAGATAGAATGCCAGAAGATATGTGCCAGAAGATAGAATGCCAGAAGATATGCCAGAAGATATGCAAAATCATATGCCAGAAGATATGCCAGATAGAATGCCAAATAGAATGTCAGAAGATATGTCAGATAGAATGCCAGAAGATTTGCCAGTAAGAAAATGTATAAATGTCATGGTGGGGATCACACGAAGTAAAGTAATTTTTTTTCGAAGTCCATTTCAGATTTCAAGTTGTGAAATGCCTACTGATTACTGCGAGGATTTTGCCTGACTAATTGATACTAGTTGTGCCTATTCACTTTTATTTCTGAGCTTATTGATGTGAACGGTTGAACGAGCTGCTTGGCACGGCACCCGGCAATTTCCATCAATTTCCAACATCAAGGTCCATCAAGGAATTGCAGGAGACTGTCAGTCACTTGGAGGAGTTGAAACGGAGAGCCAACGTGTTCTACAAGGATGGCAACTTAGATGAGGCCATTCAGCTATTCTCTGCTGCCATCAATCGTGATGCCGACTGTGAGGATACCCGAACTGTTGCCACACTCTACTACAATCGCTCAGCTGCCTGGAGGAGAAAAGGCGAGTTTGAGAAAGCCTTGGATGATGCAAACATGGCCTTGGCATTGCATCCGAAATGGACCAAGGCCTTGTACCGACGTGGCATTCTTTTGCTTGAGTGTGGCCGTTATGCAGAAGCTCTCACTGAGCTCAAGGTGGTGCAACGTGCTGATCCCACATTTGATGATGACTTGCAAGACTGGCTGAGGCGTGCCCACAATTGGCTGGCAAAGCCGAAGCACGCTCAGAATTTCTACAAGTGCTCCAAAATTTGTTTTAGTCGTTTTTTCATGCTCTTGTTTTTTGTAGCATTCATACTGCTTGCAATGGTATATGGGCTGTATTAGCATGCTAAGAAGCGATTCAGGGTTTTGCATGTTTTGGCCCGTGACCAGCTCCAATATTGTGAGATGAACAAACCATAACAAAACCTTGTAATGTTAGATTAACTTGCACGCTGGCTGCTGGCATTGTATATGTATTGTATCCTCTTGTCGTTAATTTCATGTGGAGGTTCATGAGCCTACCCATGGATGCCACCAAAGAGGACATCAAGAAACAATACCGTAGGCTATGTTTGCAGTGGCACCCTGACAAGTCGGATGGTGGCCGTGAACGATTTGAGCAGCTACAGGTTGCGCACAGGTTCCTCACAGACGATGCACAAAGAGAGGAATATGACTTTGGCATTTGGACAGATCGACCTGCCAGACATCACACCAAGAAGCGTGACAAGGTGAAAGACTCATGGAACGACAAAAACAGCAATGAAGAAGATGCTCCACGAAATCACTACAATTGGGGCGACCGGCATCTCATTGAAGACGAAAAGGTGGAGAGCATTTATTGGGGTGAAGAGGGTTGCCCTGCCTGGTTGCGCGAGAAGAGACTGGAGTATCAGCGGAAACATTTTGGAGAAGACTACATTGTGCCCTGACGTCCCTCATCGTCCCTCTTCCTTGTTTCACAGACGTGCCGATCAAGCCGCGACAAAAACGCGTGCAGCTGTGCCGACTGATGGTTGCCACTCAAGGTGCTTGATTCCATAGCAACTTGCTATCCCATGCAAAAAAATGTATTTGTATTACTTACGTATTGACTATATGCAATTCTTAATCATTTGAATGGTCGGATTGCCCACTGACATGACAGCACCTTTCGGACGGAGAAAGATAGAGAAAGGCCTTTGGAAGCAGCAAGCAAGTTGCAGATCTTTTTGAGCAGATTCCACTCTCCTTTCTATGGGAGAACTGAGAACTCCTCAAAGCCTGACCTGTTTCTGGCCTGAGGACTTTCGTTGATTGGGCCAGGGGCAGTGGCTACAATTATGAATGGTTCAGCACTGTGGCTTTGGACGAGTTTGCACCTTGTCTGCACCCACAATGCAAATGTCAGGTTGGGCTGATTTCAAGTGCAGAAAGCCACGACTGATGACAGTTTCATAGATGTGCAGGGCAAGTCAGTGAGACTAAGGCAAACAAGCCATCCAACCTGTAGAGCAGCGCGGCAGCGCCCTTCAGAACGACTCAAGAACCAGATACGTGGAGCAGAGTTGAGAGTTGAGAGCTGGACTGGCATTTGCAAGTTCAGATTTGGGCCACCACTTCTCTTGTTGCATCCTGGTACAATCACATCAATACTGACATCACACTACAGAAGTCACAAATATTCATGTCTATATATCAAGCGTACCATAGCGTACCCATTTGTTGTTAGTGAAGGCACTTCCATTCAGTTCTTGAAGGAAGCAACACTGGAGCTGTGGCTTCATTGGAGGCTCCTATGCCATGATGCCGTAGGCCTAGGGGCCTAGCTTCTGACCATTCATCAAGTGGCGGATCCTGGTGCTTCAGAGACTCAACTTGAGATGCCTATTGTGTTATTGTGTTATTGACTTACCTCATCTTACCTCTAACTATATGGTACAAGTTAAAAATGCCAAACGAATCAAATGTTATCAACACTTGTTTGAAAAATGCCCTAGCAGACTAAGAGTTGAGAGCTTCTGAAACTTTGTGGTCCGCATACTGTGTAGACAGTGTAGCCATGATCAGCATCCAAGGGGCTTGCAATCATTGTGATCCCCGATTTTTTATTGCACAGGCAGTGCAGGAGCAGCTTTGTTGCTTTCTTTGTTGCCCATAGGACTTACGAAAGACGTGTTCAAAGGCTGACTGAGTTTTTGATAGTTTTTGTGTCCATCAGGCGGTCGTTGTCCACGTTCCTCAACAGGCAATCATGCATCATCCCTAAAATGAAATGGGTGGATAATATTGGATAATGATGTAAATATGTTTAAATATAAAGTGTTGATTTTCCGGGCACTTGCACCTTCCTTGCAAGGGTTTTGCAAACTGTGTGATTCCTTTGTGTTCTGTTTTGTGAGAGTGCATCTTGCAAGCAGCAGCTTGCACGATTTCGAGTTTCTCTTCCAACGGTGAGAATGGGACCCTGCATATTCGAAACCAACACTGTGGGCTATGGTAGCCTTTTTGCTGGTACGTGTGGGCAAGTACTTGGATGTACTTAGTATATTGTACTGTGCTTGGTATGATGTTGACCAGTTTGATTCTTTCGTTGTCCTTGGGCGCAGAGCAGAGCGAGAAAGTAAAGTCCCGGCAAACCGTAGGTGCTCGGGACTAAGCAAAAAAGGCAGCACCGGTCGACCCGGTCGGCTCAGCCTTGGATTATCAACCAAGGCTAGTTTGGTTCCTTGAACTAGCGCATAGGTGACGTATTATATGTAATGCTGCATCAAATATTACTCTCTTTTTGTGAGCATTGTGAATGTATATCCAACAACATGTTTCACAGACGGGGAATACGGAGGGATTTACAAGAGACAGAGCAAAAACTTAAAACTAGTTGTTCGGCTTCATTGCGTGTTTCGCAAAATCTTCATTCATTGCGATTTGGACGAAGATGGTGTATGAAATGTTCAAGTTTCACGTGCAAGAAGTGTATAACAACTTTATTGCTATGTGATGTATCATGTGTGCGTGAGTGCTTGTCCTTTACAGACACGCATCATTTTGGTGCACTCAAGTTGGCTCCAGCTGAGTGGACTACCAGCACAGTGTCAGCACAGCGAAATAACATGAGATAGCACTGATAGCACCACATTCCTTGCAACTTATATAAATTTGTTTGGCCATTATCATTTTGGCTTGGATAATCTGAGGCTATATCACTGTTCACAGTTGGATGGGAAGTTGCCAGATCAGTTGCAGATGCTTAGAGTGCAATCACACACGTCATTTTGTGCTTCCTTGTGGAGGGGTCTCGTGCAGTTTCAAGCCCTTCATTGCTGTGCCTACTTTGGGCCCGCCAAAGGCGGATCATGGCGTATAACCAATATGCACCTTGCTCAATACTTTATGCATGGTTGTGCATGTTTGTGCTGTTTGGAGCAGTTTTCAGGTCGAAGATGGTCGCAGATCCTTGTGCAATTACCGCACATCCATTTGTGCGGCCACTACGTCCACAGGTCTTTGCACACGTTTGGAGTTTCAACCAGACGCTTACCCAGGCCTACAGCAACGCACAAGCCCCACTTTCGGTCCCAAGGATCCGCAGAGCTCAGCCTGGCATCCACAGAACAAACCATCTATGGTCAAATAGGATCCGTCAGACCTTAAAGACGCAAGCCAGTTTCGACATTTGGACAGCCGTTCCTGTCCTGGGTTTTCTATCAAAGGAATAACAGCGTGGAAGTGGTTCTATAGTAGTGGTTCTATCTCATGAGTCCTCAAACAGGTCCCCAGAGTTGTTGGGATGTTAAAACATGTTGTAGGGCTTATCAATCATTGTCATGTTGTTGCATGTCCCTACTGAGATGTTCTGCTGTAAATCCACAGCACAATATATCCCTTTGCGATCCTTGAAGCATACTATCTCCCGCCCCCGTGCTGAGCCTGTAGGAGTGCCATTGAAGTCTGTCAAGTTCCTGGTGAAGCACACTACTATAGCACACTACATGAATAGACCAGCACAACCACTGCACCATCTCAAGTTTAACGCAGGATGAGCAGCACTGAAGCCAAAAGACCCGGAATCATGTTTGGCAGGACTGGAGGTTTAATATCATTCAGTGTGAGAGTTCGGTGCCATGTATTGAGGCTTACTATGGCTTACTGCTGTTTTGTTTTTGCAGTATTTGGGAGGGGAATAAAACATGAAACACATGCATGTAATTGCATGTATATGTTACAGTATGTGACACTAGCTTCTTTGCAGCCCTGTTTCAGATTGTGGTTCCGCAATTCCATGAGGCAAGCTCACAGAAAATAGGTACCCTCACTCAGAAGAGACAGTGGAGACATATTGTACCTCAACTTGGTGGCGCAGCATCGCAGGACCCGAAGCGATGCAATGCAGAGCCTGGAGGCGACGGAAGGGCCCATCGGTCGAAGCCTTGCTGCCGAGGCCTGTGCAGGGCAACGCACATGGGACGTGCTGAAGACTGTTTGCAATGCTCCTGACTCAAAGTGTCCAAATGATATCCAAATGATATCAGATGATGCAATTCGTACTGGTATCAATTCATCACACAAAGATATGCAGCACGTTGAAGTACCACAGTGGAAAAGCTGCCGTTCAAACATAGAAATAATATGACATAATATAAAATTCGAATTTTAAATGTCAAGATGTTTTAGCGTCAAATGCACAATTTGTGTGTGTGTTTTTGAATGTATGATGGATTGTGGGTTTTCATAGTTTCGACATGTTTCGACACTATTGTGATGGCAAAACCTGTGAAACTGACGTTGGATACGTTTGATACTTCGGGATGTTGAAAGCTCCTGCTCTTGGTGCATGCAGAGCATGCGGCATATCCAATTGTTTTTTTTTGTTGCCTGGCAAGGAAACTGAGGGTCATGACGTAGCTTGGAAGCAGACCGAGTTTCTCCCTTTTTATGCAGACGTGCGGGAAATCCCTGCTCTTCGCGGTCTTGAATTTGTTCTTAGCCATGCTTAGCCCTGATATATTCGTATAATTAATTGCAAATATAATTGCCGATACCCACAACCAGGGACAAAAAGAAAGGAAACAAAATACTCAGCAAGGCAGTCATTTCTAGTTTTTCCGTTTGAGCTTGGTCGGGATGATTGAGGCGGGTGAGGAGATTGAAGCTGATCCAAAGCCAAAATTTCAGGCAAACCTGGTATGCGGCCGCTTGGCTTTCAACCGCAGGATGTTGCAGGTAATCTTTTAACTTTTGCTGGCATCCAAGTTTGTGAATTTGTTTTGTAATGTCTACAGCTATCATTGGTAGTTTTTTTTTTTGTAGCAGGCACTGGTAGGTTGTTTTATGTTGTTTTGTTTTCCTCTAATTGGGAAGCAAAGGTATCTTTGATGAGCGACCTTTTTTCCCATCCGTCCTCTTCTTCTCCACGGCTCTTGGAGCTTTTGTCATGCTCACTGAACAGCGGTCAATTCTGATAGACATGATCCTTGGCTGAAACTGAACGAATTGAGAACAGAATGTTTGGGTGTTCCCACGGGATCAAAATGTATCAAACCATTGAGAACAGGGTGTTCCCGCAAACGTGGCACAGCTGCGGAAGGTGAATTCACCGGTCCTGTTGCAGGGCCAAGAATTATTGACAGCAATAAACTGCAATCCATCAATACCATCATACTGAATCATACTGCTAAGAGAGAACGTATGGGAAGAGTTCAAATTCTGACTTAAGCATTCTTAACATCTCAACAATGTCTAGTTTGCATTGTGGTTTTTCTTGTTTTTTTTCTATATTCAAACAGTATTCAAAGCTAATAGCTAGTTGCAGCTGGTTGTTGATATTGCCAGTTGGCCCGACAGAGGTCTGGATCTGCATGGTTCTTCACCCTTTTTTTCACCGCAACTTGGTATCGCCATGTATCGCCTATGAAAGGGCCCAGCGTGATGATTGAGATTGCACTAGTCACTAGCTCTTTGCTGCAGACTTTCGCACGCATGGCTGCCTTGTGGAATATCGACCTGGTTTGTTGATGCCATACCCTCTATATAATTCTATATATTGATTCCCTGCACTCACAAAAAGATGAGTCAAAATCCTGGCAGAAGCAAACATGAAATGACATAATGAGATACAAATCACCTGCCGAGTTATATGAATGATATGCATCATGCAGCAAGTCATCAAAGGAAGTTTAGTTAGAAAACTTCCGAGTTACGGACGATGGTCATGGTTAGCATCCACAGCATCATGTCAACCACATCATCATGTCAACCACCCATCATCAAGTAGTTGGGGAGTGTAAGAGTTCGGACGCATGTGAATTCACGGGTGAAAACACTCTCGGGCGCGAAACCTTGTGTTTTTTTGGGTAACGTGGCTCCTGGGGTCACCAAAGTAGGGTCTGTGTTTCCGCGGCTGCGGG